AAATTTTTCTCTATTAACAGCACATAACTAGTAGCACTTCAGTCATGAATAAAACAACTTGACTATAGATGTAAGATAACTCTTCCTGTGTTTATCCTTCATGTTCTCTAATGAAGATGCAGAYATGGCCAAGAAGCCTCAGAAAAACATTCAAGAAAAATAAATAAACAGGAATAGGGTTGGATTCACAGCACTATCCCTGTGTCTATCGTGTGTGTAACGTGTTCGGAGGGGTATAATTTTCATTTTGGCTTCTATGTTCACAGAGTGAGGCGTGCATGCCAGCTGCACGTCACATGCCTGTCAGCTCYAGCTTAAACCGCTGCAGTTTTGTGCCAGCTAGAGTTCGGAGTGGTGCCTACTCTTCTAGGCGAGGGTTAGGCATCAGGGAAGTGATTCTTGGAAATTTACACAGATAAACTATTTGCCGACCACCATMTTAGGAGTGAGTTACTCCTAATTCAGATGATTTTGTTGCAACTATTGCATGTGACTATTGACATGCTATAAATATGTAAGTTACCTTTACATTAGCAAAGCATCAGTAAAAGACAAATCTGATWATAGATGAACTGCAGCAGAACAGAAAGGCTGGCAGTGTGAATAAAAATACTGCATGTTAGCTTAAAAAGTTAAACATCATTTTCAATTTCAGATTATGGAAAACAAACAGTTTGAATTGATTTTCTGTTGAAGTCCATGTTATTTTATGTTGGTAACATTCAACAGACTGAATCATCTTGCTGCATGGTGTTAGACAATCTTCTCTTTTTTTTTTCTTTTGCATTTAGTTCTTTAGTATTTGCTTGGCTCAAGCCCCTTTCAAATCATTGCTGCAACAATGTCCTCATCAAGGCGAAAAACACAAATCGGACTTTATAGAACTTAATCTTGTTCACTGACTGAAATGAAGGTTTTCCAACACATGCAAACAGAGCAGCCTCAGATTTATGAAGAATACTCACTACTTATCCACTTGGCGTTTGGGTCATGAACCTTGAAGTCTTTTCGGAAAAGGTCAGCGACCGTCACCTTGCCCTTCAGAGCCAGACGATCGTCTTCACCTGCCGAGAAAACAACCACACTGTTAACTAAACATGAACACATACATGCTGATGCACAAATCTTGGCGAGTATTCATCTTACAGCAAGCAGAGCAGTTAAAACGACTTAAAGAGTAAAATATGTTTCTAACAGAAGCTCATTATCATGACTCATCACACAACAAGGCCTGCTTAAGTACCCTGGAAGTCATATTTTAACCCACTCAGTGCCCCTTTAGTGTCATTTTACAAGATGCAGGGGAGTAATCAACATAAGTATTCAGACTGAGAAAAGCAGGATTTGGAGGATTATTCTTACACCTTTGTTTAATGTGTTTTGTCATACACGAATAAAGAGTGAAAACTGGAAACTGGAACAGTCTGAAGTGAAAAAAAAATTCAGTTATTTTACATTAATGTTGCAAAGCTGCGTAAAGGATGTTGATTTATTAATTCATTGAAATATAATGTTTAGGTCTAATCCCCTTTGAAACATGAACTTATTTTTATTGTGATGGCAACAGAAAGTATTACTGACAAGTCTGAAATAACCTGAGACTTTTCTGATACAAAATGTTAGGTTTTCTAAATGATCATTCCTGGTTAAATTCCACAAAAAAGAGAACATTTCATAATGTAATCAATCAGACCCTTTAAACAGGATGTAACGTTTTAGGTAAGGTCCAACCAAGGAGGTTCTATAGAAYTGGAGTGTGCAAAAACCACGTAACTGTTTGATCGGCTGGAGAAGCTAACGGCTAACGCTAAACGGGCAAGACTCTGGATTTCCCATTCCTGTACATGTTGACAACAGAGCAGAAAAAAAGGACTGACAATGTAGAAATCATTAAAACTATTAATAATAATATTAATCCAATTATTATTAATGCTTTACAGTTAATATAATCTATCTAATGTTTTAAATAATGGCAGAAAAGCTGTTTGTGTTATGACTTATTAACAGAAGATAAACATGAAAATGTTTCATTTCACCACACAAGTAAGCAGATTTGATCTTATTTAGCTCAATGTGATCTGAACAGAACATAATGTAACAGTTTAAAATTAAAATAATCTTATAAAGTCGATGTAATCACTGTTATTTATTGAACTGGTTAGCAGATATTAGCTTGTGGAGCATATACATTGTGTAGATCTGCTGAATCATGCTACAATTTAACAAACTATTAAATATTACAGCTGATTTGTCCTCTGATTAATATTTAGACCTAGAGAGTATAAAATAATATTATAAATGTGAGTATTTTTAGGTTTCTGTTAGAGGAACCTGACCTGTTGAGAAGATGGTTAGCTAATAAAGGCAAGTTTCATCCTATTACCAGAGAACATTTTCTAACTGTTGACTGGGAAATGGTGGTAGAGCAGCCGGCTTTGGGACCCKCAAGTCACAGGTTCGACTGCCCGCCATGCCCACATGCCGTTGTGTCCTTGAGCAAGATGCTTCACCCGCCTTGCCTACTGATGGTGGTCAGAGGGTCCGGTGGTGCCTGTGTATAGC